CCCAAATTTTATCATGCCAGGCAGATAGAGTTGGTGGCCTGATCTTTTCAGGTCTCAGAAGCTAAGCAGGGTCAACCTTAGTTAGTATCTGGATGGGAGACCACCAGGGAGGACCAGCTACGCAGAGTCAGGCAATAGCAAACCACCTCTGAACATCTCTTCCCTTGAAAACCCTATGGGGTCACCATAAATTGGCTGCAGCTTGATGGCACTTTCCACCACCACGACTTTTTTTGTTCTAAGAACTCAGTTCCGTTACAGAGTTCAGGCTGGGAAAGAATTTTAGCGGGTGGCTGCTCCATTTAGACAAAGCCATTTAAGTTCTTTTATCATGGCCTGGATAACTGATTACCTCCGAGATAATTCATGGAAATGAGTGTCTCCTGGGCGTAAGTCCCTAAACTATGCCAACACTCAGGATAATCCCTGTCCCCCCCCCCTTGTAAATCTAATTAACCACTATTCCTAGATAAATATTTCGAAATGATCCCTTAGGGATTTCTCTGACCCATCTATTAACATTTATTTACCTGTTTATAATATCCTAACTGTTTCCACAGCAACTGGGTGTAGTGCCACAAACACATTTATGGTAGGGAATAAGTGGGAGAGAAAGATAAATTTCCTTCTAGGCTCCTGCAGCCTATGCTGCTCTATGACCCACTTTCCAGTTGCTCAGTTCTAAGAGGAGCAGGTGCACAGGCAAACAGGATTCTCTGCTGCTATAGCCTCTGATATGAAGAAAATTGCCCTTCCCACAATTTCCATGCAGTGCTGCCACCAAGATCATTAATGATTGCTGAAGTGACATATCATCTTATGCTCCCATGCTTACAAATACTCATTTAATCATTTGATATGGGTTTCTTTAAAATGTCTTCGCAATAAAAGGTTTGGCACAGGTTTTAAATATAAACAAAACTACTGTGTAACACTTTGTGAATATTCTTAGACACCCTGTCATTTAGAAATGGAGACTCATTATTATAGTGCTCCAGCTTCTTAGTATCAGTATTTTGGAAATCCTAATCCGGCTTTCATCTGGCATAGTAGCCTTTTCTTTTTCCAGAACTGACACCCCCATGGGTCTTACATGGGGTCTATTTTAACTTATCTTTCTTTTCTCAGTGCCACTTTCTACTGGCCTGTCCTTTGCGCAGCCAACTGTTGATTCACAAATGTGCAGTGACTTCTGTGATGGACAGTAAATAGTTAAACCTGTAACCTGGTCTGAGAACTTTGAGTGACAGGGGATTCAAATGAAGTTTTTCAGTTGAGAGAGTCAGTAGTGACAGTTGAGAGTTGGCAGTTAAAAACTGAGAGTTGACTGAGAAAGGAGTAAGAGTGTCAAGTAGGATCTAACTGAAGAGTATCAAATAGGATCTTACTAAAGGAGTAAGAGGATCAAGTAGGATTCCCATTGAAGCCTGAGGGAAATAGATTCTAGAAAAGGGGGGTGATCCCTATTCCCAAGGGAGTGAGAGGATCAAGAAAGATAAAAGGAAGTACTTCTTCACCCAAAGAGTGATTAATGCATGGAATTCACTGCCACAGGAAGTGGTGGCGGCTACAAGCATGGACGGCTTCAAAGGGGAATTAGATAAGCATATGGAGCAGAGGTCCATCAGTGGCTATTAGCCACAAGGTATAGATAGGGACTCTGGGGCAAGGGATGCCCTGTCATCTTGGTGCAACAGTGGGAGGGCTTCTAATGTCCTGGTCCCACTGGTGGAACTCCTGATGGCACCTGGTATTTCTGGCCACTGTGTGACACAGAGTGTTGGACTAGATGGGCCTTTGGCCTGATCTTGTGTTCTTATGTTCTTAAGATCCTGTGTTAGGGAAGTAGGAAGTTTGCCCCATCCCTAACAAGTCTGAAGGAAATAGCTTCTAAAAGACAGGGGTGATCCCTAGTCTGTGGATGAGGAAGGAAAATGGAACTTGTTTGAATGTTCCTGCCATCACCAAAACAGACCTGGGTGTTATCTGCATAACTTGTGACACTCCAAATCCTTGGATGACCACTCCCAGTGGTTTCACATAGATGTTAAATAGCATGGGGGATAAGGTGGAACCCTGCAGAAATCTGCAGCATAAATGCCATGAGGCCAAGCACTCCCTTCTGAAATTGGCCAGTCAAGTAAGAATGGAACAACGTCTCTTCATGGCTGTATAGGGAGCTTCCCCCCCCCCCCGTCTCTGGAAACTGAAACCAAACAGCATCCCTTCCTTAAGGTTGCCAAAAGCCTCTGAAAAAATGTCCAGTCCATTTAATAGAGGCTTAATGGATTATTTTGCCAGGTGATATTGCAATCCCATGAAAAGCTTCACTTGCTTATTTCCATACATCAAGCCTCTATTTTAAAATGTGTTTTATTATGTATGTTTTAATTTGTTAGTTGCTGTGGTGGCTCTTGAGCTCAGAAAGGCAGAATCTAAATTTTGTAAAATAAGTGGGGACCGGCAGTAGTTGCGGGTGAACCCTTCCGCCTCTTACCTGTATCCCCCTCCCCACTGCTGCTGCCAGTTGTGTAGGTCAGCCTGATAAAACTACTTCCCACCCTTTTAAAAAGCCAAATTGATTGAGACATCCAAAATAGGGATAACTCCGACATATTCTGAAAGTAGAACATGAGACTACACATGACCCTCATTTCTCTAATCTTGCAGAAGTAAACGAGTAACCACAGACTGAAAATACCAAAATGAGAGAACTGTCAGCATGTGTTTATTTTTATCAGTTCAATTTAGGGAACCAGGCTACACATCCAGCACATTAGTCTTCAGGTGGTGGGTTGTGGTTCACTGCTAGGTCCTGGCCTAATGACAGGTGGACTGCACCAGTGCTGATGTCACTCTTTTTTCTGGCCTTTTTTAAATTCATAGCCAATGATTGTCATGGAAGACAGGGGAGTGTAAGAGAATAAAAGGGACGCACACAGGAGGGAGAGGAAAAGACAAGAAAGAAGCTATGACAATTTTGCCCTCTCACACAGGATTTCCCTTTGTCTTCTTTCCGGCTGAGCAGCCCCTTTTCCCTTTTCTTCTTTGTTTTATTCTCTCAAAAACAAGACAGGCTTAGCTGTGAATACAATTGGGAAAAATGAACTCACTGAAGAAAACCACTGTTCTATAACTTTAACACAGTTGATTATACTTTTTTATAATGTTTATAAATGTAAATTTCCTATTCTAGACAGCATTCATCCTTATATAAAGTACATTTCACAAATATAAACAAAGCCAGTAGATAATAACACGTTTTCCTAGGATTAAAAAGTGGTCTCAAATATCTTTTTCAACTCTATATCTCTGTTGGTGTTTGTCAGCAGTCTCTTGATGGAGCTGTATTAAAAACATAACATGTGTCTTATGTTAACATGGAAACAATTGACCTTCATTTCCCAGAGAGGAAAAGAGCAAACACTCACCACTGCAGGAATGACAATAATGTAGATACTATGGATCAATGCAATCTATATATCTAATAGCCAAGTCGCCCCCGTGCGTGCGGATACCTAACTCCGCGCACCGGGGGCACCTGGGGGGGAGGGAGATTTTTGTGCACACTTGGGGCAGTCCCCAGGTGTGCACAAAAATCTTAAAAGTTAAAAAAATATATCGGGGGGATACTTAAATCCCCCCAAAAGTGACAGAGCGTCCCCTGCGCATGCGCAGGGAACGCTCTGCAGCCGGCCTCGCCGTCGCCTCGGAGCGGGGGGGGAAGCAGCGAGGCCCGGTGGCTACAAGCCGCGCGGCCCTTGCTTTGAAGCAGGGGGGAGGGGGAAGCGGCGAGGGCCAGCGGCTATATGCCGCGCGGCCCTCGCTTTGCAGCAGGGGGGAACGGCGAGCCCCCCCCCGCGAGTTTCGCGGGTCTTCTTTCTTGTATCTCTCTAATGTCTTCCCAAAGCTCTTAGTGACATGCTATCTTACTGATTCTTAAGTAGAAATACAGACATGAGATTTTAAAGGTATAGTTGCTTGCTAAGTATATATTAGTTCTTAAAGAAACACATGGGTTTTTTGATCATGAGAATACAGAAATCAGCATACAGTTAAACAAACTGATACTAATAATGTATATCAAATGCATCATGATAGTATAACAGACTCACAGGTGCCACTGATTCATTTTATCCCAGTTCATAAGAGATGAAGGAGGAGGAGATTGGATTTATACCCCATCCCTTGCTCTGGAGTCTCAGAGCAGTTTACAATCACCTTTCCCTTCCCTGCCCCACAATAGACACCTCGTGGGGTAGGTGGGGCTGAGAGAGCTCTGAGAAAACTGCTCTTTTCAGGGCAGCTCTGACAGAACTATGACTTGCCCAAGGTCATCCAGCAGCTGCAAGTGGAGGAATGGGGAATCAAACCCAGTTCTCCCAGGTTAGAGTCCACGCTAAACTACACCAAACTGACTCTCAAATTCAGTTCAGAGCCAAACTGGCTCTCAAATTCAGTTTTCTTCCAGGTCAGACTCCACAAATATATTAAATATAAACTTTAAAAAATATTTAACACTAAATAGCAGTAAGCAATATAAGCAAAAAAAAAACCCTCTGTGGTGCCGCCCCCCTTCCCTTGGTGCCCTAAGCACATGCTTATTTTGCTTAATGGTTAATCCCAGGCTGCTAGTAAGGAATAACTCATTTCTACCAGTTTTTGTTCTGTTTTATCCTTTGAGGATTTTTCTGGAGCTTGGTCAGACAAAGTCAGAGTTTATACAAGGGCTTTCCCCCCATCAAGCTCCATAGCATCCCTTGTTTTTCTTGATTACTGTACCATGGAATCTTAAAATCTTCCTTTGGGAACATTTAGTTAGTTCTTTTACTGCTATTCTTAGGGTCCCTGATTAAAGTAGACTTATTAATGCCCTGTATTGTCTGTGCAGAACCTTGTTCTAGACTGCAAGCCATTAAAAGTAAGCCTTCTTTTGAGTGTTGAAGCATGGAGCTCATAATGGCCAGTTTACCCATCACAGAACTTGTCTTGCCTCCTAGGAACTAGTTTCCCTTGTTCTGAAGGATAAATACAAGAAGAAGAAATTGTCTTCAGCATGCTGCAGGGACATCTGGCAGCCCCCAGATCCTCTTGGGCCTGTGATTTTGGAGATTGGCTGTGGATCAGGAGCCATTGCGTTGAGTCTCCTGAGAAAGCTGCCCCAGGTGAGTGAAGTTATCATTATGTGTCTGAAAACAGAGATGAGATAACGGCACTAGAAAAAAATGAGTGACTGCTTCTAAGAATTTATGATGTGAGGCCTGATAGAAAAGACCAAATATATTTGTTTTTCACGTGTGCATTTGAAATTAATAACTTGATTTTAACTTCAAAAGGATGACTGGCTGAGCAGGATGTTGGCAGAAATGCAGTAGGCAGATCCTGTTGGGTCAAAAACCTCTATATGATGGTGAAATTGCTTTCTGGGAAGATGGCAAAGTGAATATGGCAGAGATTCTCAAGCTTATGGAAGTGCAACCTACTTCTAAACCTAACTGTACTTTTCTGAACCCATTTGTGGTGTAACTCAACCTGACTTTCCCACTCCCGAACATAAAACGCAAGACAACTGAATAAGTTTATATTCCTCCATCTTTACGTGATTGTGTTCATGTTTATATGTTTTCTTTAATTGTTTGGTCTTTTTATATAATCTGTATTTTAAATGCTGTTTTGCTGTTTTGATTATTCGGCACCTTGGGGCCCCAAGTTGTGTGGAAAGACAGCATACAAGTGTTCTAAACCAAGGGTGGCCAAACTTGCTCAACGTAAGAGCCATATGGAATAAACGTCAGATGTTTGAGAGCCACAAGACGTGAACAAATGTTACACACACGTTTTTATTAATTTGCTTTTTATTAAATGTGACTCCCAAAAATAAAAACCAAAGGGGTCAAAACAGATATTGATAATGATATTTATTTGTCCAATGATACTTATTTGCTTGCTAATAATATTTATTTGTCTAAGAGGGAGAGAAAGAGAGAGGTGGAAAGAGAGAGAGAGAAAGAAAGCAAATAGATGGGAGGGAGGGAGAAAAGTATGCCTCCCCTTCACTTCCCCAGCTGCCCTGCCGGGAGCCGCACAATATGTGTGAAAGAGCCGCATGTGGCTCCCAAGCCAGTTTGGCCACCCCTGTTCTAAACAAATAAATATTCTATTTTTTAGATTTACTATTTGTAAATATATAACATTACTGTGCAACAGGCTGTATTTCATGGCTTTTTTTGTACATTATGTAGAGCCTCCCAGATCCTCCTCTCCCAGATCACTCTTTTCCTTCTCCTTGCATCGCTATACACTTGTAAGAAAGCAGCCCTCCACTTTGAGGATTTGATCACTACAGAAGCTGGGCAGTTGTTGTAATTTACACATGCTTAGATTGTACCACTGCTAAGATGAATCTTCGGGGTCTAATGCTATCATTTAGCTCATACGTTGTGGTTTGGCGATGCAATTAGACTGTCTTGGTATTTTTGCTGGGGTTTCTTATCTTTCATTCTGTGGTGCATCAGGATTGAGTAGCTATTATACATTGGGAATAGTAGAAGAAAAGTTAAAGGTGATATTGGGACAGTGTGTTGAACATTTTGTAATGTCTGTTGAAAATTACCGTACAAGTTTTCTAGGGATTTGTGCTGTCTCCATGCCCAAGGCCAGGAACAAGCAGGAGTGGCCCACCAAGTATGTTGATCTTTTAAGAACTCATCTTTGCAGTCACACCTTGATTACTGCAATACAGATTTCTCCCTTCCAAACCATGTCATGTGCATTGTAATGTAATGCCTGTAGTGTATGACCTCATTTATTAGGGATAGTATATGATAATGGTTAAGAGTGTAAAATCATAAGCCAACATTTCACCTCCCCTAGGAATGCCTTAGAGGCCCTTAGGCAAATTAATGTATTTCAGTCTTTCATCTGCAATATATTGATAATACTGATCTGACCTACAGGGTTGTTGTAGGGATAATGTACGTAAATCAGTTTGTACACCTAAAATGCATAATATAAATATTAAGATTTTTTTATGACTACTAAACGGTGACTTATGAGGAAAGAAGAATTACAACACACACACACCAAGCTTGGGCTTCATTCCTCCCACTGGTTCATTTGGTCTTTATTCCCCCCCTCTTCTTCTGTACTTCATTCCCCATCAACACATTAAATTCATGGGGAAAGAGAAGAGGCAGGCAGGGGGACCAAACTATAGCCAGCTTTGGCATTCTCTTCTCACATGCTCCTGGTGGCCATTGCCACATATTTTCACATGATATGCTGGCGACCCTTTATGGCCCCACAGGGGTTTTTTACACATGCAAATTTCACTGATGCCACTGAAGATGGCCTACCCCCTCTGAATTCTTTTTAAAAACACTTCGGATTCTTCTGCAAACCTGGAGGTTGTCTCATGTTTGCAGGATTATAAAAGGTCCCATTTTGTAGATTAAGATATCCAAACATGTGCCAACCTTGGCTATTAATTATAAAGATTACACATACGGTCTTGCTTTTGGAAAATAGTGAAAATGCAGTAGAAACAAGTAACCACTGAAGATCAAATGATGTTGTGTGAAAAGGGGTGTTACGAAACAATGTATCTGTTGGCACCAAGACTGAAAGACTAACAGTTCATGCAAGTATCAACTTTTGGGATCTCTGATTTATAAGGATTTGTAGTGGAATAAAATGTGTTAGCCTCTCAGGTGTCACTGGCTCCTGTTTTTGTTTAGTTGCTTATGTATTTTTTGAATGAGCTTCCACTCATCGGCTCCCTAGAGGTAAAATCTTTACAGCCAAGGCTGTGGTAGTCCCTAAGCAAACACTGGTGATTCTCTAGATGCACTTGATTATTTATGAGATCATTAACAGGTCAGAAAATATAACAAACTCTGCATACTGTGAGGGGAAATGTGTCAGAAAGCACAAGGAAAAAGCTGCAAGATAAGAATTCCTCCTGGAAAAGAGTATATATTTCTTTGTAGTTGTTGAAAAGTTAGATTTCTTTTCCAGTGCACTATCGTTGCTTACTTCATTTGCTCTTGTCACCATTTTCCTGTTGTATCCAGCGTAAATAATGTGTTTGTGTGCGTTCACGTTGTGTTACTTTTCTTTTTCAGAGCCGGGCAATTGCCATAGATAAATTAGAAACTGCTGTGAATCTCACAAAGGAAAATGCTGAAAGGTAAGATCACCTACGATGCAGCGGTAACACAAAATATTATTTCTCTGCTAACATTGCACAAGTTAGTTCGTTACCAATCTGATTTTTAAAGGTATCTTCTCATCTGCTGACTCCTAAACCTGAGCCTTTATTGGTTCAGGATCCAAAAATTAGTGGTGATACTTTTGCAAAGTTTGTTGCTGATAAAATATTGTGAGTACACACTGAATGGGTTGCTGGGTTTAACATAGGTCAGAAGAAATGTATAATCTGGTCTATTTATGGGCCATTTTGACCCAATTGCCAGGATGGATTTTGAGGGGACCCTGGAATCTGTGAAGGTTGGCTGCTAAAATCATGTAATAGACACCAAAGGCCCACATCAGTGAGGCATGTGCAGCTCAAAAAAAAAAGACTTTTTAAAACTCCAGATATCAGGCAGCCAAAAAATATCTGTATTCTTGGTTTCCCAGGTTCCAAATAACGGTTTGATGTTTGGGTCTGGGTTTTTTGAGGGATTCTGATATTTTTTTGGCTCCATTATTCCCTATGGGGAATCTGTCTGAGGGGCTGGAGGGACTCTTTCTAAAGCTGCTGGTGCCTTTCGGAGATGAATGACACAGTGAATGGTAAAGACATTAGGCACTGTCTGGTCAATTGTAAAGAAGTCAACAATGCAGTTAGAGGCCCAACTCCAGGGCCCTTCTGCTGTCTCCTTGCCACTTAGCACCCCCCCGCCCGCCGCCAAGTAATCCCACTGCCCCCCTGGGGTGGTACTGCCCACTTTGGAAACCACTGTATTAGATAATTTCTATTTAATATGCAATGTGAATAATTGTCCTTTTATGGATAGGGTAGACAATAGGACATACTGATTACCAAGTCTTTGAATTCAATGTATGCAAGCTAAGGCTAGTGCTCAAACTCCAAATGTTCCATAAAACCTTTAAAAACACATTCTTCCTCTGTTTTTCCCCACCTCCTTTCCCTCCCTTTATTGTGATCTTTACATAAAACTTTAGGTTGTAGAATCCTCGGGTCAAGGACCTCATACTCCATAAAGTGCCATACACAGAGATATTTGTTTTTTACTTCTTTTATACCCCTCTCCTCCCCCCATGGGGACCCAAAGAGGCTGACAACATTCTCTCTTCCTCTGTTTTATCCTCAGAACAATCTGAGGAAGTAGGTTAGTCTGAGTCTTTGTGACTGGCCCAAGGTCACCCTAGTCCAGCTCTCCAACCCCAGACACCCTCAGGGTGCTCTAATTGGTTGGATTTGGGAAGGCTAAAGGAATACAGTTGTGTTTTTGCAATCCTGAGAAAACCTTCACATTTGCTTCAGCATCTGTTTTAAAAAGAACAACACAACCTTACTTAATTGGTAAACCAGACACTGAAGTGATTCAAAGAGAGCCGCCGAACTTTGTTCTTGACTTTCTCTCCAGGATGACAGACGCACAGTGGCCCTCTATCAGTTGACCCAGGATGGGCAGTAAGGAGTAGGCCAAAATACTCTTCCTAGTTCTTGTAGATAGGGACTGTTTATTTCTGGAAAACAGCCTTGGGGAAAGCAAAACAATCTCTGAATCGTGTCAGTGTTAAATGTATGCAAGCTAAGGCTGTTAGTGGTTCTGGCAGGGCTGTTAGTGGTTCTGGCAGTGCAGACTCCACCTGTTTCCTGAGTGCAGCCTTTGCCATGTGAGCTGCTGGTGCATGGACCAGAAGCCACCTGCATTCTAACATTTCTGGATGCCCCAGTCAGACATACTTTCTCCCTAGCAGCCAACACAGCAGGATTTGATAAGGAGCTTCTGGTGGGAAGCAAACATGAATCTTAGCAAATCACCGTTTCATTTCTGGTTACAGCCTTGAGAAACTGCCAAAGCTTATGCCCCAGCAACTGTTTTCCACGAAACCAGCACGTTAAGTCATGTTATCATCCAATCTAAGCCAGTTATGGGCTCACCCACTCTTTAAAGCTTTGTGCTATAATGTTAGTATTCCCCTGTAGGCAAGGCTTGGATACAAACTATTCTCTGCCAATGAGTACCACACCCATATCTCCCAGAGGCATGTGGTTGCAGTATGATTGAATTGGTGGGGGGGAGGGGCTCCCTTGCTATCCAGGATCTCTGCTTTGCTGAAGATTCCTGGTGGTGAGAACCTGGGTACGGCCATGGGACTTGGTTTGTCTCTTCTTCTTCTTTTTTTTTTTGTCTCTTAGTTCCTAAATAGCCTTACTGATTTTTTTGTTGTTGGTCATGTAAGAACTTGCCAAACAGCTGTTCTGTGCTTCCACATACTCTATAGCTAACACAGAATATTATGAAGCTGTAAGGAGTCCTGTATTTTATTCACCAGAGCATCTTTCAAAAATCTCATGGCAACTTACAGATGGTTGATCCATGTTAGCCACACAGACACGCACACACACCCCTCTGAAAATGGTTAGGCTGCCAAAAAGCACCCTGGGGCCCCAAGATTACACAGTAGCTTCTATCCTAACACAGTTACATTTTCCTAACTGCCCGTAAGTGTTCTAAGGATGGGGCAACAATTTCTGCCAGCTTCCCCTCTCTCACCGACTCCCTGAAAGTTTGTTCCTGGGGACCAGCAAGTCCTCAGGAACAGCATACTAGGGGTCTGCAGTGAGGGGGGAATCGATGGAAATGGCTGCCCCCTCTCAAGAATAAGAGGGGTCCTTGCATTTCCTTAATGTGGTTGGTTACAGGTCATTAGGTGTTGTGTCTTAACAGTGTCTTGAACCCAGGTTTTCAAAATCCATCTCAGTCCCTCTGTCTTTTGCACAGTGGTGATCTCTACCAGTATCACGGCTACCATCATGTGGGCTACACACCCCCTAGTCCCATAGTGACCTCTACCTGCAGTGAGTTCAGGAGCAGCATGGTCTGAAGATGGGAGTAGTGCAGTTTGAGAGGAGCAGGAGCAGAAGATATTGGGTAGGGACTCAGCCAGGGCTTTTTGGGGGGGACGGGGGGGGAGACGCACCAGAATGGAGTTCTGGAACCTCTTCGACAAAATTATTTTAAAAATGTTTAAAAGTCCATGAGTTTTCCGTATACAGATTGAAAACTTCATTTCCCTCTTGAGAGTTCCATCACCTCTCCCCCCCCCC